AGGTGAGTCAGGCTCACCAGAAGATACAAACTCATGAGGAGCAGGATCAAAACTCATCTCCCCTTCCTCGCGCTCTCCTGCATAGAATGGGAAAGCATGAGCCTAAAAATCTAAACGATCAAGAGAATGATCTATAGAGTAGATGTTACCTCTGTCGCTAGCAGGATCATCACCAGCCAAGTCCATCTCAGATGCCCGCGAATCTGCAGGCGGCTTATAGGCTAGTCTCTTCCGCCTATCAGCACGGACAGTAGTCGAAGGTCTTGCCCGGGCAAAAGGACGGAATTCCTCTTCACTGTTTGTCGCTGTCCCTGAAATATCAGATAGTGGTCAGGACTGGCAATTCGGAAATGCAGAAAGAAAAGATGGGTGACTAACCTCGCTCGAAATCTGCCTCGTAGTCTTCAGGATCTCCGCCTGAAGCCTCTCCAGCAGAACTAAAGGCCCTATGACCTTCTGCATCAAGTCGGCGGGTCTTGCCCCGCGCCCTCTGTGACCGAGCACCGTCCCGGATCACATGAGAATCAATCTGAGAGGCTTCTTCGGCCACCAACTCTTCAATAGGCTTCACAGGGACAGTCTTATTAGCTGCTAACAACCACCTGCAGCTCAAGAAAGTGAGGTTCAACTGTCGCTCAGCACCCGGGAGACTGAACCTAGCACCAGTGCAGCCTGTCACGGTCCACAACCATGCACGAAGACCGTCCACCAAACCTCCATGAGCCCGAAGCTGCTGGCGCGGATTCCCGACATAAAGCTGGTCATAACCAAACTGGCGAGCGAATCGGCAGGGTAGATACGGCTCTATAAAACACTGATTCCCCACCCGGAAAGTCAAGTAGCCCGGCCTGATGTTCACTAGCCAATTAAAGCAGGGCTCTATAAAACACTGATTCCCCACCCGGAAAGTCAAGTAGCCCGGCCTGATGTTCACTAGCCAATTAAAGCAGCCGATATCTAAATAAGTGCGATACTCCCTCGGCTTCTCCTCATCAATCAAACATTCGCCATACCGGCTGGAGAACTGCGGAAAACAAGTAGAGAACGCCCAGCACTTGTGGACCTGTAGCTGCCTCCTGATATCAGAGAATCCTCGGCCTTCCCACTCGCCATTCTCAAGCAGCTGTAGTAAGGGAACAGAGGGGTCCATGGCATGTGGTACCGACATCATGTCAGAACGATGAAGGACGAACCAAGCCATCAAATAAACATACGGAAGCTCCACCTTAGTGGTAGGAATCTGAGTCGGCGATTCCTTCTCCTCCCGTGTAAAAGCGCCAGAAATTTGTCGAAGCCCTCGATGAATGTTAGCCACCATCACCGGAAGAAGGGAAAGTTCCTTTCTGTAGGCAAGTTGAACCGCAGGGTAGAGCACTTCCAGTGGCAGAGCGTCACCAGACTGATACGGGACCACGCATTTCTTTAACCAGATAGCGAGGTAACCGGCAAGAAGAGTCATCGGACGAATCGGTGCAGTCGCATGCCATAAAAATGATCTGAACTTGGTCCCTGCAGGAAAGCCGCTCTCAGGACTGCTATTGGTATAGGAGCGAGCGTCAACAGAATGGCTCTCTAGATTCCTGAACAAATATGATGCGAATTGCTTTAGGCTCATATTTGATTTGGTCCTCTTCGCTAGGGGTTTAGACTGCGCCAAAGCAATGTGATAGTGACAAGTGAGGTCCCATAAGGTCTCGTAGCGGTCGAGCATGCGATCTTTTAGCTGACTCAGTTCATGGTTGGAAGGAAAATACTCCTGGTATAACATCTGACCCATGGGCAAACCAGAAATCTTATGCATCTCATGGAGAGCCAAGCCCAACTCTCCGTGCCTAGTCAGAAAGGTGTTCGAGTCCGGATTAAAAAGTTCGCATAAGGCAAAGAAATGCTTTGCACTAACGGGTAAACCATGCATGGTGGCACGAATGGCTGCATAAAGACCGCAAGCGTGCAACTCCTCGCTCCATCGGCTCAAGACGTACTTCGTCATACGAGCCCACCAAAACTTGTCCAAAGAATGGACCCAACCGTAGAATCTGTGGCGCGGCGCAGGCATCTCCCGTCCTAAGTTAGCGAGGCGATTCCTCAAAGTGGAAGCAGAGGCAAGGAACTCGTTACGGGGCGGTGCATCTAGCCCCAGTACTCCAACTTGGACATCCAGATCTGATCCTCGGCGAGCATCCACGTCACAAAAGACAGGAGTTCGAGAGAGGGGAAGAACAGATCTGAAATCTACATGAGATCACACTCCGGATCTAAGCTTGGTCTTAGATCCCGAGATCCGAGCGATTATTTCCTTAGTGAACTAATCCCTCCCGGCTATTATTCCCTTCGTGGAATAATACCCGTCAAATCGTGTAGATCCGACTGGATCTAGATCGCGCGGTGGTCCACGGATTAACCCCGGCGTTAGCAAAGAACCCACAAAAGCGAGCGACCGCAAAAACAGGAACTCGCGATTTGTTCACAAGGAGAAAGTTGTAATTTTTCTTATTTTCTTTGATTTCGTTGTAACCGGATCTAAAAAAGACCGGATTTTTTGTAACCACAAAAAGTTGTTATTTTGAGATCACAATGACTTCAATGAAAGCTACAATTTTCACCGCGAACACCAAATCCAACAACTTTACAATCCGTAAGTTGGCTCACTTGATCTCAATTTCCTTTTATTATTCCCTCTTCTCCCCCAAAAAATAAATTTCTTTTCTATCTCAAAAATCAACCCAGATCTGATCGCTCAAAAAAAATTTCGTCTTCACCTTGATCTCAAGCTTACAATGGCCTCCGATCTCCACTTTCTCGAGCTCCAGCTTCACCTATGGACTCCGATCTACTTCAGTTGCTGCAGGCTCGCCGTCACCATCGTTGATCGCAGCAGAGTCGTCGAGTCGTCTTCGTCGTCGATCGAAGCAGTAGAATCACAGCAGAGTCGTCGTCGATCGTCGAGGCAGCCGTTGAGCAAAGCAGTTGTCGTCGACGTTCGAACGCAGAGCTCGAGATGGCGACGCTCAGGGAGTTGAGGATCGAAGCGAGCTCTGATACCAGTGTTTGAACTCAGAGAAGAAGGAAGAACATATTTTTGAGGGGGGCTCCGGTAACAGGTTAGGGTTTGATATTGTTTCTTTTGTTGTATATCTTCTGAAGGAGATTGCTCCTCTTTATATAGGAGCCAGAACCCATTATCTCCACCCCCTCATAACCGCTCCTGAGAGAATTTCTCTCAACAAACCCAATTTCTCTCCACGATCCACAATTCTCTCTATTAAGAATCGTTGATTTGGTCATCTTAGACCAGGTCAAGCTAACAGTTGGGTAGTCTATTCTTCTATAATAATATAGGAGAACCCAGTAATCAATATTTATGCTACAGTAAATTCTGTAGTAATTCCTGTAGCATTGTTACCCTAGCAATTTCAAAGAAATATCACTGCAGCATATACGGGATACTGTAGCGGCATTAAAAACATTACTGTAGCACTTCCAAAAATATAACTGTAGCAGAGCTGGGATACTGTAGCGTATTAAAAACATTACTGTAGCATTTTACTACCAACTCATAACGTTAACAGCCAACAGATAAGGAAATTAAAATTGAAATGCTTACACATTTTCTAGAGAAGTTTGGGTGTTCTGAGAAGTTGAAGGTTTCCCAACAGAGATAACATATAAGTTTATGTCTGTGAATCCATTACGACGACAATGCTCGAACATCAAGCTCAAGTCGTCGTCATTTTCAATAGCAAAACTGAACTTCTTTTCCCTTTAGGACATGAATTTTAGTAAAAGATATTGCAATGGTAGTTTAAGCGTTTGTGATTCTTGATAATTCAAGCTAATGAATTTTGTAGACTCATTGATAACTACGAATACACCCTTACCCTTTTCGTTGTTTGTGTTTGTAGCCATGCAAAGGAGGGATCTATCCGTCATTTAAAAAAACAAGTAGTTGAAGAATCAAATAGGATTTATAGAGGAGAATTAAATGGCCAGGAGAGAGTAGCTAGGGTTAGCAAAGAGGATTTATTTGGGGGAGAAGAGAGAGGTAGAAGATGGTTAGAATTTGGAGGGAAATAAGGTTTCCCCCCTCTAAATCCCCTTTCTAATCACCATTAATGCCTACAATCCTACTTCTCCAATGACCAGATCTCCTGTCCGCAGGCTGGTTGCTAGAGAGAGTGGGTGAGAGTATTTTGGTTTTCACATGTAAAAAAGTACACATGAGGGGTTCACTTCCAATTTTTGCGGGCTAAAGGAAATGCGACTTTGGTCTTGGGGGCATTGGGAGCTTTTGAAAAAATCTTTTGGGGCGATGGGGGGGGAGTAGGGGCAGACTAGAAGCAATTTTCTTTTTTTTTAGTATATGTGCAAGTTTGAAGAAATAATCTTCAATTATGTGCTTGATCATATTAGTGTATCTTAGTCGTAAAATTTTAATTTAGGTTTTAGTGTTATTGGGTATGTACAACCCATCAATTATAAATATCAAACGACACCTTAGTTTATGGTTTTGTGACATAGAGGTGTTTGAAGTTTTTATTTTCTGTTCTAGATTGAGGGGTGGTGGTTTTTATAATTAATGGACCAATTTGTTGACAACTTATAATTTAAGAGATATATGAGCAATTTCAAAGTACAACCCATCAATTATAAATATCAAACGACACATTAATTTATGGTTTTGTGACATAGGGGTGTTTGAAGTTTTTATTTTCCGTTCTAGATTGAGGGGTGGTGTTTTTTATAATTGATGGACCAATTTGTTGACAACTTATAATTTAAGAGATATATGAGCAATTTCAAAGATTTGATGCGAATATAAAAGTATTTACAATATAATATTTAATAACTCCTTTCTCAGATTAAAGCCTCTCACCTTTAATATGGGCCCCACTGGGGCCAATCAAGTAATCTTTCATTCTGGCTAGGTCAGCAGCACTGTATGTTGGCGCCAAAATCTCTGTACCTTCCCGCCAAAAAACCCCATGTCCTCTTAACCGCGCCCACAGTTCACAGTGATCAATCAATTTTGGGCGGAAAAAAAAAGAGGGGAAAGAAATGGATTCTTTCGCTGGATTCTACATCGACGAGAAAGCAGTTCGAGTCGAAAACATCTTCCTGGAGTTCCTCAAGAGGTAAAAGATCTCCAATTTCCCCCCCAAAATTCCTAGGGTTTCTATCGACCTAATCATCTGGCTCGCTCTCAGATTTAGGCTCGATCCAAATGGCGCTCCCTTCTACGAATCCGAGGTCGAGCTCATGGCTGCCAAAGAATCGACCACCATGTTCGTCGATTTCTCCCACGTTATGCTGTTCAACGATGTCCTTCAGAAGGCCATCTCTGAAGAATATCTCAGGTTCTGTAGTTCTCTCTCTTTGGATCTCTAGGCTTTTTTCCCCTTGAATTTTATTGATTTTGATTGGAATGAGATTTGTAATGGTTTCAGATTTGAGCCCTATTTGAAGAATGCTTGCAAGAGATTTGTAATGGAGAGCAGATCGAGCGGGAATAGACAGGCTACTGATGATAACGCAAATAAAGATATCAACATTGCATTCTATAACATCCCTTTGCTGAAGAGGTACTAATAACATTCATCAAATTTTACCTTTGCTACAATTAAGTTCAAATTTGGGCAAACTATACCCATAATGCTTCACCCATTTTAAATTTAATATCTTCCGTTACATCACCATTAACTTTTTGCTGAAAAAGATCCTTTCTTGTTACTTCTTCCTTTCAATTTCTGTTGTGAATATTGTTAAGTAAGGTTACTCTTGTTACAGGTCAATACCAGTTATTGTGTTTTTCATGGACATTGAAAGGAAGAGAGTTCAGTTTAGAGGTTTACATGTCCAAATATTAATAAGCAATGACAATGATGACATTTAAACAAAATTCTTGGCATCACAAAAATTCTTAGTGGTGATATAGTGGTCACTGTTTTAAAAAGCCTTCGCCTAGTCTGTTTAGGCGCACATCTAGGTCTAGGCGGTACTTAGGTCGCCTAACTAGCACCAATGCGGTGCCTAAACTGCCCACCTAGACTTTAGGAGTGTTTAGAGGAGCATTGTTTGCTTACGTGGACTGCATCCTTTAAGCGTTGGTCGTGATTTTTTGTGTTGCAACCTCCACATCCTCCAACCTCCTTCAAATTCCTTTAACCTCCAAATATGAACACCTCCATTACCTCCTCCGACCTTCAGCAAAACCTCCTCGACTACCACTTAAATGAAGAAAGAAATCCGCGTAGACACTAGTCCGGCACCTAAGCTTTATATAAGATTGACATTTACTATCAATTATTGTAATTGAAAAATAAAAAAAAGAAAATATCCTAGTTTCTAGGCGTCGGGTCCAACGTCTAGGCCTTCTAGTGCTTTCTATAACATTGTTAGTTATTATTTTGACTATTTAGTATTTAAGTATGTATGGTTTATTGTAGATCTAAGATTGCTTTTTTACTTGCAAATTTATATGAACTTAATACATATTTATAACAATTATTATAATTAAATAATTTAAAAAATAGCCAAATGCCTAGGCGTACACCTAGGTGTCTAGGCGCTAGGTGCACGCTCAAACGGCTAGTCTGCCTAGTGCCTTCTGTAACATTGATAGTGGTAGATATAACATTGATAGTGGTAGATATTAAAGTTAAAATTTTTGAAACTTTCAGGTAATTTTTGGGCAAATTTAAACTTCAAGGTATCTTAACTAAAACTCACTGAAACTTCAGGGGATTATATATGCAATTAACTCTTTTTAAAAAGCTTTTGCACAAAAAAGTTATGTTTTAAATTTGTTAGGTTGAGGGATTTGACAACGTTGGAGATAGGGAAGCTGACTTCGGTGATGGGGGTGGTGACTCGAACGAGCGAGGTGCGGCCAGAGTTATTGTATGGGACTTTTAAGTGTCTGGAATGTGCCGGAACTGTCAAGCATGTGGAGCAGCAGTATAAATATACAGAGGTCAGGCTTCATCACATTTTCATTCTGGAATTTAATTTATTAATGTGGTTAATTCCATGTTTGGCTATTAGTTTTTGGGAGTAAATGTTCCAACTTGAGGCCTTTTTCTGAATCAAGTTAATAGTTTATATGCATGATGGCTTGCGTGCATGATGGTTTGCTTTAGTTGAATATTTAATATTGTGTACAGTTCTACAAATAATAAACATGTTAAGTAGTTCTTTTTGAGTGAAGTATTAGCTTATGAAGTTTGAGTTCTGAAGTGAAGGAATTAATTTACACAATAAAATGAAACTTGAACCTTCTTTTATTTGTAAAATCTATACCATTGAACTTCAACCCAAAGTTACTTGCTGATAAATGATGAGAGATAAAGAATGTCTGCCTAAAAGCTATATGTTTCACACCTGAGTGACTGAGTCCCATGTTAAATCTGATAAGATATGCAACTTTTTTGCTTGGTAAAGTTGATTTATGACTCATATTGTCTTTTGGCTAATTTTTAGCTGTCTGCGCTAGTTCACTTGTTTCCCCTTATTGTTGAGTTGATTTACCCATTTCATTTTCTGAAGTTACTCTTATGATTGGAGTAGTTCCACAAATTCTTATACATAAAGAGAAAATGAGATTTGCAATCTTTACTGATATTCATGGATAAACCAAAATGGAACTTCCTTTCCAATATACATTGCTCATCTCTAATTCTAGTTTCCTTATATAGTTCAACTACAAGTTTTGGCTCTCAGGTTCACATAAACAATTAGAGAATTTTTAATTAGCTACAGTCAGACTTGATTTTTGCCCCCACTGAACTATTAATCTTTTAGGCATATTAAGACATTTACAATCTCTTTTCTTGTTAATAATGACTTCCTATATGCAAATGTAGCCCATAATCTGCATGAATGCAACCTGTCAAAACCGTAGCAAATGGGCATTGCTCCGCCAAGAGAGCAAGTTCACAGATTGGCAAAGGGTTCGAATGCAGGAGACATCCAAAGAGATACCAGCTGGTTCTCTTCCAAGGTCCTTGGATGTTATCCTTCGGCATGAAACTGTCGAGCAAGCAAGGGCAGGAGACACGTAAGCTGCTTAAGGTTTTACCTGATATAATGCAATAACCATGAGTCTATTTTACTTATATACTTTCATTTTTCCTGTAGGGTTATTTTCACAGGCACTGTTGTCTCTGTACCAGATGTGATGGCGTTGACATCACCAGGTGAGAGAGCAGAGTGTCGACGAGAAGCACCACAACGCCCAAATGCATCTGGTGGTAATGAAGGTGTTAGGGGCCTTAAGGCTTTGGGAGTGAGAGACCTCTCTTACCGCCTCGCTTTCATTGCAAATTCTGTGCAGGTTCTTATTTTTCTGAGTTATCAATTCATGGCTGATTTTCTATTCTTTCTATTCTTTTCATCAAACATGCTCTTCACATTCAACATTTTGATATCTAGATGGCTGATGGTAGAAGGGGTACTGATATTCGTGACAGGAGGATGGATGGTGATGACAATGATAAACAAGAGTTCACGGTAGGTTCTTACAAGACAACTTGAGTGTTATTTCTAGGTTCATGTGCATCTAGTCATTTTTAGTTTGTGTTTTTATTGCTTTTTAATGTTAAGCTCCAGTTTTATTTTTCCTTGCATGTCTTTAAATTATCTCCCATTTGAATAAAATACTTGGGTATGTAGTCGTATCTAGAATTTTAAATGGTATGGTAATTAACTTTTCCTTGTTGGAACTAGCTTTGTGCCCCTATCCTGCAAGTCAAATTACCATTTATGAGATCACTCTAGGTCAACCCCTTCAGTTATTTGTACACTTGAACTTTAAAATGTGCCATCTTTTTTTGTCTTGTTCAACATGTTGTCATCTTGTTCTAACTCCATTAGTAAAGGAAAGTTCTATATTCTTTCATTCTGGAAGCTGGACATTGCCCTTTTTCTAGTCTACCTTCTTATTTAGACTTTCATCTGTTTGCTATTGTTTTCTGTTGCAGCAAGAAGAAGAAGAAGAAGTTATGAGGATGAGAGAAACCCCTGATTTTTTTAACAAACTAGTAGAGAGCATCTGCCCTACAGTGTTTGGCCATCAAGAAATTAAAAGAGCGGTCCTACTTATGTTATTAGGTGGTGTACACAAGTCGACGCATGAAGGAATCAATCTCAGAGGGGATATCAATGTCTGTATAGTCGGAGATCCCAGCTGTGCCAAATCACAGTTCTTAAAGTATGTCCTACATCATTCTCTTTGCCGGATAATATATGTTTATGATTCCTCATTTTCCTGTACATTTATGCTCATAGTATATTGATGAAGCATGCCTAACAAAATTATATTGGACGCGCCGAAGTTTTGTTCATAAATATTTACTCATTCTAATGGCATTAGCCAACTATTTATAAAATCTGATTAGTCAAGATATTTCCTTACTTAACAACAGCCAATCACATTTGATGAACAGTACTAAAAAGTTCAGAGGGTTTTAACTTATTTTGTTTATGCTGTAATTCAGGATAAAAATTGGCCTCAGAATAGGAGAAATTCCTGAAAATGACTCGAATAGTTCTGGAAATCAAGTAACTTATTAGATAGGACAGATGGTCTTGTTTTATTTTTAATCTTGAGCTCATTGATTTCCAGTCTTCTAGACTACTTCCTAGTGAGTGTATGCATCAACCTTAATAATAGTTTTAATTTATGAAACAAAGATCTAAGCTAGAGTACTCCTAAAGTCTTAACTTCACCTAAATCTTAGTTGATTTTTATCTATGATTGTTTGTTCAAATTATTATCAGTGTGATTTTTTTCGTCTAATATTAATACATTTCAACAGGTACACTACTGGCCTAGTTGCTCGCTCTGTCTATACATCTGGGAAGTCTTCATCTGCTGCAGGGTTGACTGCAACAGTAGCAAAGGAGCCAGAGACTGGTGAATTCTGTATTGAGGTAATGCCATTGTATGCATGTAAATATATTGATTGTACTACATGTTTATTATCTTGTTTTTGAACTTAAAAATTATAATATATAATATAGGACAAGTGGAGTATTCCTAATTTACATCAACTGGTTATTGCCTGACTTTCTGGTTGGAGTTGCTGTCCTGAAATATTTGTTTAAAAAATAATATGATTTTTTTTGAGTGAAGAAGCTAATTACACATCTTGAAGGGTGTTGACTGTGAAGAAGACATTCCAAATACTTTTTTTGTGTTTGTACGCTAAGGAATATTGTCAGTTGAAGCCATCATAGTGTTAAAACATTTTTCTGAAAAATAGATGTCACTAATGGTGATCACATAGAAGCATAGCTTTTAGGATTTAAGAAATCATGGACTAGCATTCTAAACATAACACAGTTCTTTGTTAGATATAGTAGTGGACTCAACCACATCTTTCATTTTATGTTTTTTATGAACTATTAATTAATGATTGCTTCCTGAATACGTAGCTCATTCATGTTTTCTACATGGAATTGATTATATTTATTCCGAACTTTCTACATTCATATTCAGAATTTTCTAGAGTATCAATAACTATTTTAGGCTTTACTTATCAAATGACTACGTTTAAGGGCCACTAGTAGTTTCTTATCTTTGGCATTCAACCATCCCAATCGTTCAGATTAATCTCTTTCTCTGCTTCACATTAAGAAAGTGAAAATAACATACTACGAATAAAGGAACTGATCAAAGAAAGAAATATGAAGGTAAAATTTGAAAATTAAAACCTGCTAGTTTCCTTAGCTTTATCTTCCATAAATTTAAGAAGCAAAAAGAAGGAAAAATCTAAAAGAGATAAGAGCCAATTTTTATTTTGATCTAAATCTATTCTTTTACATAACTTCTAATTGGCTAAATATACATATTCTTCTACCCTTCTCCCCGAGGGACATTCTCGTAGGACTGACTCTGTCACCCTGGCATTCACCAGGGTGTTCTTATTCCAGTATCTTCACCACCATTTGAAGGAAGGGATTGAGATCTCTAAGATTTACTTTTCAGAGAAGATCTTTCGATTTACAAATTACACCAATTTAAATAAAGAGTGTCCTCTATAGCGTTGGGTATTGCAAAACACCATAAAATCCTTAAAGATGAAAGTTTAGTTGTGAGAACCCAAGTTCCCTGTATGAGTTGTTTCTTATGAGATACATTTTAGTGTTTGTGGAGACCTAACTTTTCCTTGGAAAAATGAATTGTTGATTCAGTGATGAATGTGTTTCTTGGCCATGCAGGCTGGTGCCCTGATGCTTGCTGATAATGGCATATGCTGCATTGATGAATTTGACAAAATGGACATAAGGGACCAGGTAGATCACTGTAATTACTGTTGGTAATTTTTTTGAGTAGTTGAACTTCTTAAGTTCTGATTCCTGAAACTGAACTTTTAAGGTTGCCATCCATGAAGCTATGGAACAACAGACTATTAGCATCACAAAAGCAGGTATACAAGCCACATTAAATGCTAGAACCTCCATTTTGGCAGCAGCAAATCCTACAGGTGGACGCTATGACAAGACAAAGCCACTCAAGGTTGGTGTTTCCAATATGAAAAGTTCATATCATCTTAATTGTTTTGATTTTTTATTCATGTCAACTTACTTGTTTTTATTTTTTTTATGTTCTTACCGTATTAGAATGAAACCCATGATTTTCTCAAGTTTTGATTTTCTCAGATTGCACAAACCTTAAGTTTACCATGATTATTGGTTAAGATTTATTAAACTAAAGTATGTGGAATAATCATGATACTCCTCTTGTTTACAGTATAACGTGGCACTTCCCCCTGCGATTCTCTCGAGGTTTGATCTTGTGTATGTTATGATTGATGAACCAGATGAGAACACTGACTACCATATTGCCCATCACATTGTGCGGGTCCATCAGAGGCATGAAGAAGCACTTGCCCCAGAATTTACTACTGCAGAGATAAAACGTTATATTGCATATGCTAAATCTTTGAAGCCTCAGGTTTCTTTTTCTGTAATTGCGTGATAGTTTTTATATATCACAAATTTGAAATTATACCTCCAGTCCTAGATTCATCACCAATGTCATAAGCTAGCCATCCTCTTGCAGCTAAGCCCAGAGGCAAGAAAAGTGCTGGTCGAATCATATGTTGCTCTTCGCAGAGGTGATACTGCTCCTGGAAGTAGAGTTGCTTATAGAATGACAGTTAGGCAGCTAGAAGCACTGATTAGGCTGTCAGAAGCCATTGCTCGAAGTCATCTAGAGAAAGTGGTGTGTATTAGTGTTATTAAATTTGTGTTATCACCGAAGATACTGTAACATCATTACACATCATTTATTTTACTTCTTTGATTGTCTATGTATAGGTTCTTCCAGCTCACGTTCGCATGGCAGTAAGACTGCTTAAGACATCTATTATAAGGCAAGAACATTTTAAATATCTCTACTGGGCTTGCACTATATTATGTTGAAAGGGGCTGACATGTTTTTTATTTATTTATTTATTTGCAGTGTTGAATCAAGTGAAATTGATCTCTCTGATTTTCAAGATCAAGAAGAGGGTGATGGAAACACAGTCCCTGATCCTGCTGCTCCCCCAGATACTACTGCAGAAGCAGGTCCTACAGAAGATGGAGGTAACTGTTAAACTTAGCAAGATATATAGTTATTGTTGCATGCATCTTTTGGAGCTTTCTGATATTGTTTCTGTATAAATATCTTATTTCTGGTGCTCAAGGCAATGAGAATAGGCAGAAGAAGAAAATGGTTATAACTGAAGAACATTTCCAGAGAGTTACCCAAGCTCTCATTATGCGTTTGCGGCAGCATGAAGATACAGTGGTGCAAGATGGTATGAGAATTCTTTTGCCTCACTTGTTTTGTTTTACATTATGTGTGGTAATTTATTGTCCTTTTTCTTTGCTTATGTTTTCCTTTCTGTCTAAATACTAATTCTAGCTAGAGTAGGATTACCCCAGATTAGACAGATTGATTTGCTTTATCTTGCAAATCTCTTTCTTCCAATATAGAACTTAAGCTGTTTGGCAATCAATAATAAGTCTTTTTGTTGCCAAGCTTCCGACTTCCAAGTATACTATATGAAGTGTCCTACTATTGAGAGGCGGCTATTTTTAGGAAAAGTGTAGTGTAAAATTAGGCAAATAAACAATAAGCATGATTTTGGAGTGAGCATGTAGTCTACATATAACTTGCTCACACATTACGACTCTTAGCCTTGAAACTTTGTCAAAATTGTAGCTGTGAAAAATCATAGCTCTGAACTTGTACTTACTACACAGTTCATGGGATCTCATCAAAATTTGCAAAATACATTCAAGATATCCTAACCATGACCGCACCTTCTTGTGCTTGTATATTGATGTAAAATTTTCTGATATCTGCAGGCAGTGGTTTGGCTGGTATGAAGCAAGGGGATCTTATTGTTTGGTATGTTGAGCAACAGAATGCCCAGGGAGCATACAGTTCCACTGAAGAGGTTCGGGAAGAGGTCAAATGCATTAAGGCCATTATAGAGGTAAAACCAAATATATATTGAATGAAAATTCACTTAAAAAGCATTTCCCCCCTGTCAACTAACACTACTGATAATATGCTTGCAGAGATTGATACAAAGGGAGGGTCATCTTATAGTCATAGATGATGGAACAAGCTCTACTGCTGCAGCCCCCACAGAAGCTGGTGGAGCAAGAAGATCCGCCAGTGAGAACAGGATATTAGCTGTGGCACCAAATTATGTCGTTGACTGATGAAAACATTGATCAGATTGAAGATTTATCCAGATTAGTGTCCGGATAGAGATGAGAAAATATTTACTCAGATGGCATAAGAATGTGCGAAGTGCATCCTTGAGCGTTACTTGAGGAGTGCTATTTCAGGCATCCTCTGAGGATCAATTTTTATTACATTTTAAACTACTTTTTGTTAATCTTCATGTATTGTTAAATGTGTAAGTGAAGTTGCTTATTGCAGCCTGGCGGTTAATGTAAGTTATGATGTTGATATCATGTGAAAAGGTGTCGAAAAGTTTGAACGACGGAATGCATGGAGTTCTATCTCTTTGAAACTATTCATGGTTTGCCGAAACATTCGCTTCTTAAATCTACAAATACTGCTGAGGTTATCTGTTTTTGATCTAAAATCTTGAAGTTAATCTGGAGAGCTAATTAAGCTTGCTGTGTAATTGGTGGATTACTAATATCATACATCTTTGTGTGTTACAGATATTATGCGTTTCTATTTCGTTAGGTGGGATTAGTTTTCCGACCAATCTACTAGCAGGCGTCATCTAAAGCACAGAAGGGTAGAAATGTAGTGGTTGGCAAACATGTCATCAGGATAGATCATAATCACGCGCACTGTAGGAGTCAAACTATTTCAATTTTACTCCCATTCCTTCGCATTTTGCTATACCTGAATTTTACCATAGATCGTAATCAAGCACAGACGGATTAATTTTCAATTTTACTCCCATTCCTTCGGATTTTGCTATACCCGAATTTTTACCATAGATCAAAATCAAGCGCACTGTAGGAGTCAACTATTTCGATAACCATGTAGATATACGACAAAAACATCACGGAGTCATGCCATAAATAGACATAATCCTCGAGTCGTTACAGATAAATCATGAGGATCTATTGACCAAGTCTTCATAACATGCAACAAGAACAAATCTTTCAGTTCTACCCCTAGAAAAAATAACAGGAGGAAAAACAATAATGGAGCAGGTCAGATGACATCTACTGACGGAATGAGTGCGCGAATCTTGTGGCTTAAATATGCCATGAGTGCGTGAATCCTGTACGCCATTAATTTTGTCTGCATTGACATGATTTTATCAAGAAAATGCAAATGACTAGCAAAAGAGGAAGGGATAAAAAAAGAAAAAAAGAAGGGAAAATTGCTTCTAGACTCCAAATTTGAACTTTCAATGTGCCCCAAACCCTCTTATTTTTTTAATGTGCTTTAGCCCTTTTTTTTGAAAAAAATGTGCCCAAGGCCCCTCCATCATGATTCCAGCTCATGCCAGCAGTTAATTAGACATGCCAGCTCATGATTAGACATGTCAGCTGGTTTAAATCCCAAATTTACCCTCTTCTTTCTCATGCCAGCGGATGTTAACTCTTGCAGCTAACATGTTAACTCTTGTAGCTAACATGTTAACTCTTACAGCTAACATGTTAACTCTTACTAATGTGCTCGCACGAAGTTCCTCGTGACGATGCCGGCGGCGGAGCAAGGGAGGGCGTAGAGGGGGACCAGAGGAGGAGGAGGGAGGTGTAGGGGGAGGTGTAAAATCGGGATTTTGGAGGAGGTTGTATTAAAACTTGGGGAGATGAGTCTTGGAGGGGCCTGAACGCAATTTTTTTTAAAAGGAGGGGCTGCAGCATATTAGGAAATTAAGGGGGGGTGGGGCACAATAGAAGTTGGGTTTTGAGGCCTTGAAGCAATTTGAAAAAAAAAAACGAAAAGAAAAAGAAAAAATATTTAATAATTAAATTTTGTTATTATTTGAATTCGGAAATGATCTAAATCAGTAAGACATTGACACTAGCTAGAAAGTTTAGTATTCAATCACAACTATAATATTTAGATTGTTAAACTTAATTATTTTAGGGATTTTTCAATATATAACCCTCATGTATTTTTTTAGCCTTCCAATAATTTTATTAGCTAATTTGCTCTGCATTTACTTTCTTCTCTTAATTATACATATAAATAATACATTGCTTATTTTTTCAGTTTTAGGGGTATAATTAGTACATTGCTATTGGTTATGAATTAATGTATTATTTTTAATGAAACTAATACCAATTATGTACTAGTAGATTGGGGGTTAATTGTCTCAATGAGATAATTTTACCCATTGGGATAACTTGAGTGAGATAAATTAAGGATAAAGTGTGTTAACAGGGGATAATGAGATAATTGGGGGTTAATTGTCTCAATGAGATAATTTTACCCACTGGGATAACTTGAGTGAGATAAATTAAGGATAAAGTGTGTTAAAAGGGGATAATGAGACAATTTGAGTGAAACAATTGGTATGACATCTTTCTATAATATGATATTTATAGATTAATTAAGTTCAAGTTTAACTTGCTATTACATCAAATCATGAATAATAAATAATAATGATAATAATAATATTATTGTTATGATTATTTTAATATAAAATAATAATAATAATAACAATATAATATTAATAATATTAATATTAATCAATTTTTGAATATTTTGATGTTTATTTTAACTATTATGCTATATTAACAAAATTTTTAATTACAATAATTATTTAATCATTCTTACATTTATTACAGTGATGATGATAAAGTCTCAATTATTACAAATAAAGTCTTAGTCATTACTTAAATCTTAATTATTACAAATATAATCTACCGGCATATAACTTTGCTCTTGACTCCTTCGGTTACATTTGTCCCATCCTCCCACATTGTGTTTGCCATTTGTTCTCTCCAACGTGATATAACTGTCTGATGTGCTTGTTGAGTCTGTAGGTCATCGTCCTCATCAGAATCACCATTAATCAAAGAAACATTGCGTGGTGCCTCTAGAGGAAGATCAGAAACTTCAAAGTCATCGTTAGAGTTCTCCATCTTTAGAAACTTATGCAGACTGATACATGCTTAGATCATACTTTTTTGAGTCTCATATGGAAAACCTGGAGGTTAGGACTTAAAATAAGTGAGCCTTGACTTGAAAACGCCAAAGATACGTTCAATATAATTTCTAAGAGATGCATGTCGATGGTTGAATAAATCATGAGGATTGCGTGATCGCTGACGGTTGTTGGCTACGCCAAACTCTTTAAGGTGGTACCTCATACCCCGATAGGGAGCCAAGAATTGTAGCCTATTTAAGTAACCACAATCAACTAGATCAAATTTACCTGCAGTAACATTTCTTTGGAATTATAATCAATAAATATAAAATCTAACAATTTGATAAAATATATTTACCATTTGGGAGTGGAAGACTTCATGCACTTTTACTCATTACATTCTTCAAGACCTGTGAATCATTGACAGATCCCTCCCATCCCACTAAGACATAAATAAACCTAAGGTCAAATGTACATGACGCAAGGACATTTTGAGAAAGATAGCCATGTCTATTATGATATGGGGTTTGGTCCTCGCCATACACAACACATGGAATGTGGGTCCCGTTAATAGCACCAATATAGTCTTATATATTCCATTAACAAATATGAGATGTGACTTTAAAATTATAATAATAATGAATGAAGACTTATATAGTGTATTTAAATTTCAATACCTTGAAATAAGGCCAAAAATGAGATTCAGATGTGACCTTTTCTAGTGGATCGGTAGGAGGAGGAGCCATTATACAAGGGGCTGATGACACAAGGGCTTGGAGTGCCTTATTGAAACAGACGCTGACTGCAAATCGGGATTGTAGGCTGTCTAAAAATCACAATGGATAACTGATCCCCATTAAGCCCCGACAATAGGAGTTACAATCAGACGACTTCCTAATCACTGTATCTGCAACTCTGCAACCGCTACAAACACGGCCTCATTTCTGAGATGATTGATCTTGATGGCTGCGACAACAACATGACTAATATTAGCAACTATTAGAGATGCTGATGAGAAGTGTAATGATTTTAGAAATAAAGGGTTGAATTTAGTTGGTGAGTTGCTTGGTAGAGAGCTGCGGGCAAATATTCGTCTAAAAATCACTATGGATGTTTGATTCCCGTCAAGTTCCAACAATGGAAGCTACAATCAAATAGTTTTCGTACCGACGAACGAAAGCTGCAAATAGAGGACTTTTCACATAGATCGAGAAGAGTTACAATTCAACGACACTTCCGACAACTGATGAAAACTCTATTCGGCAGTCTTCATAATCTACAGTGAAAGTTACAATCTGACGACTTTCACATTCCACAACAGCTAAAGCTAGGATTACTGAACAACGGTCCTCGCAACGCTCTGTAGGAGAGGTTACGAATCAACTAACCCCTTCTAAAACGTGGAAGTCATCCCCACGTCACAATTTTGGAAATGCAGGCGACCCCCGCGTTCCCAAGCTATAACAAGCCAAACGCGAGCGACTATCGCGTTCGGGAGATCCAGCCCACGCCAACCTCCGCGTTTCGAAGCTATAACAAACCAAACACGAGCGACCCTCACGTTCATTGGTGTTCAGCCAACACCCAACCTCGCGTCTCAATTCTAAGAGGCGACGTTGGGTTCTGAACGCCAGATTGGGCGTTTGACTCGTTCGAATACGAGTCGAACGGTTTCAGAACTGTTTCCCCACGATCTGAGGAAATCACGCCCACTTAGGAGCGGATTTAGAGGGCAGTTACAACCTCTTATCCACCTATAAAAATTCAACAAACTCAACTGAGTTAGGGGCTTGCTTTTTTGGTACGAAGGGGCAGCAAATTAGATCTTCAGGATCTCAACTGCACAAAGAGGCGTGAGAGAGACAAAAATCCTTGGAGATAGGATTTTTGAATCAAGTCCAGGAGATCAAAACCGAAAGGATTCTTCAACAACAGAATATCTACTTGATTATTAACCGAATTTTCGGTTCTAACAAATCTCTTCACAGAGTTCTAACTCGTTCAGAGTTCTTAAACTCATTCAGAGTTACCTATCAAACTTTTCACAGAAGTTTATCGTTCCCACGAGATAAAAGACGGTCAGATCGTCAACGGAGAGCAAATTCGACGTGAACAATCGAAGGTGGCACTCCATCGCTACCTTGAAGAACCCAGTTTTAAACAAAGGAGAGAACCAAATTCGTTCTCTTCTCTTTTGTAATCGAATTGTAATCAGAATCAAAGAAATACAAGTCAATTTTCTTTTGTTCTTTTCATTGCAATTTTTCCAACATACAAAAGATGGCGACTCCACTGGGGACTAGCTTTTTCGATGAAGAAGTGGTGGCGCAGTCCGATGTCCACCTCATGGGAACGACTGTAGAAACTCTCGTCGTGGAGTTTGATCAAACAAAATATGAGGAAGCCTTATCCTCTGGATCGCTTAGCCCCAAGGCTAATCGCGATGTCCGCAAGA